CATGTGATTTTAACATAATCGTTTCGCTATATCCATATCTATCATCATCACGACCGTTGTCCTGTCGTACTTTCCTACCTCACCCGCGTCCCTTTCGAGTTTGGTACGACTCTGTGTTGATTTCGTGCACATCATAGCTTGCCTCAAAGACTCACCAACCTTTTCTGACCAAACTCATTTTGTCTCCACGGAACCCCTACCTTCCTTGACGTTCCCATGAGTTCATACCGTCGTTTCTACGTAGGATGCTGTGGGTAGATAAATAGCTAAAAGACTCCTCAATCGCTTGCTCCTACGGTGCCTCTTGTCGCAAGACGAATGTATGACTTTGTAACGTCTCTTTGTTTCTGTTTGTCCTTGCAACCATTTTTCCCTCCTGTCCAACCAACCGTTGCTGCTCCCATTAGCCGTCGACCTTTTACGAACTTTACCACTTAGCTCTAGTTGAATAATACGGCGACACGAAGCCCCTTTAATGTATAGTAATGCAATCCACCTCAATATGATCGTTCGGTTTCTTATTGTTGTCCTTTTTCTATTTGCAGCATTGTCGTCTGCTTTTTCGGAGTCCATAAACTATATAACAGTGTCTCGCTGACCTGTGCAACAGTAACACACAATTCAATTCATTATTAATATTTCGACGAGCGTTTTTATTACTTCAACTTAAGAACTTAATATCGCTGCACCATTATATCTGTTGGTCTTGTTGCCATTTTCCATCGTCACGGTCCTTTGTTTATATGGATGCATATGAGTGTTTGCGTCATCGTGTCAATAGCGGCAGGCGACTGCGCCATCAGTTGTAAGACGCCTCAGAACACAAACTACTCTAGTCAGTCGTTCGTGAAGATCGATCGATAACCAAATTGCGATGGACCCCGTACAATCGCCTGCCGCTTAGCGGAACGTTTTCGTTCATTTATGAAATGACGTGGGTATAAATAAGTGAGGATCAGCTCAATATAGCCATCATGGACTCCGTTATCGTAATAATAATAATAATAGTAGTGTCGGTACGGTGCATACATCTCGATATCTACAATCACTCTTCAATCATCGTTTCGGCGTAGTCGACTAGAATTAGGTTGGTGCATAAGTAATGGGATAAATGTGGCGTATGTCACGCAAACTCCGTGGCTGAGAGTAGCGTTCAAAGCTGGTCTGCCGAATTTCATCGTCTTTCCTTTGCCCCGAAATAAAGCCCCTATAGTCGACTTATAAATTTGTCGAGAACTGCCTTGAGCCCTTTCGAGCCCTTGAGCCCCCCCCCCCCCCCCCCCCAATGCTAAACAATAAAGAAGCAATCGGCCCTGAACAAAAACGCAGGAAACTTATGCACCAACCTAATACATAAATAGCTATATTTACTATCTCGCCTGTCACAGTCTTCGTCCATTGTGATTATGTGCCTTTTCATCCATACGACAGAGCACTGTTGGTAGCATTGTTATGTTACTATTATTAGAATAAATAATTTTCGTCCTGCGAACTAGATTACTTTCATTAGTCAGTTAAATAGAGCGACAACAGGTAATAATAAAACGATACGAACCCCGTGTTAAGCCATTATCGAAGCAGGCCGGCAAGCGAACTGTCTGACCTTTGCCTTGTAGCGTCACGCTATGTTCCTCATTCGAGCTAAGGCGACGATAAAAGCTTGGTTAAGCTAATATGAGGTTCGCTGAAATCAGAGGCTCGTTCTCGACAAAGGCCCTAACGGCAGTCATTGCCCATTCCGACTTCTTCCTATCCATTCAAGGAGATTATGTGTCTCTGTTCTTTGGATAGGGTACGCTTGTCGTTCTTGTCGGCGTGTTTGTCTCTAACATACAATAGCCTAATCTGTACGCACGTACCTGACGTACAGAATTACAGATACAGGTTTGTCTTCCAAAATGAAAAAGTTTGCCATCACCGGAATGGAATCGTTCATGCGCCATCGCTAAGACTTTCCATACTGATCTCATGCCCCGGTTGAGCCCAAACTTAACTAGTCTCTTTCGGCGGTTCTATTGTCCTCTGTGGCGCTTGCCTATAAATAAGCGGACCAGTCATTGCTGGCACAATTCGAGTGGCACAAAGCACTTTTGAACGCCACTAACAGACTAAGAGGACCGATTTAAACCTTCGTCTATCTCCAGATCGCCGCTGGTTTATGTAATGTACAAGCACACGAGCCGGCTCTAAAAAGGAAGGATCCTATAATACATAGAGAGGAGACTACGATGAGCAGTTCTCCCTAGCTTTTCTTCGGCCTAGAGGTCTAAGGATAACAGTAACAACAAGTATGCCAGAGAGAGGGTATAACATGTATTCATATACATTCGAGGCGGCTGAGCTGTATGAATGTGTTCCCATTGTTAATACGGTACCTTTTGCATAATTGTTACGGGTGTCACCTAGGTTCGAGTAATTCTCTTTTTACAAAATCAGGCCCGCCGCTATAGGTAAGGCAATTCAGGAAATGACAATGCAGTGCTATAGGACCAAATGACAACAAATATCTATGCATACGTCCTGTACAATAAATTAGCCGAAAAAAATAGCTTTATAGTACAGTTGGTATTGCAGTCATTTCCGTGTGCAAATAGTTCGCGTGCGATCAAATGATAAAATCAGTGTACTAGGATTGTATCTTCCGTATAGGTAAGCCGGTCACGCCAAGGACAATTCGATAAATTTCTTCCGACTCATTTCACTGGGACACTGCTTTTTGTTCGGTAGTTTTTTTCCGGATAGAACGATAATTTTTTTTGTAGTGAGCCGCGAGTAAAAACAAGCAGTATTTCAAAACAAATGATACCAATATCTATTTTGAGTGAGGCGCTGTACAGAACCTATTGTACGTTCCAACCGGCACAAGCTTGCGTCTGACTTTTGTTTTTCCTTACTTTATGCTTATACTTATATATTTAGTTTATGCTCCTCGGTGTCGGTGTAGCGGGTAGTCGAGAGAGTGCTCCGCACCCTTGGACAAAGATGTTCCTGGTGATGCGCAAATGGTCTCACAGAGAAATTTCTCTAGCGCCATTTTTAGCTGCTGGGCAAATGAATTTTTCCACTGGGCAAATGAATGATGAGTAAAATCTCATCCATTCATCTTTATCAACAGTAGCCAATTCAATTGCCCAAAACTACCCGTCACGACCAAATTAACTGTTCCAAATAAATTTTGTACCAACGAGTTCCTATTGGTCTTTTGCCTTGTTGTGTCAGTACGGCTTTTTAGGCTAATTTATCTCACGAGTTTTTGCCGTCGTCGTTGACACAGACGATGCATGGTCAGGGTAGGGAGCCTTCGCCAAAGAGGTAGCATATTTGTCTGGGTTGTTTTTTACCAAATGCACACGAGATGGCTTCGTTCAAAGTGATCTAGATATATTCGACACGCTGGGTATTCCGGCCAAAAGCATGAATAAAATATAAGGCATACTTTGTTTGTAGAAAAAGCATCAGGCCGACATCCCGATGCCGATCAACGATAGGGGATATCATCTCAAGAACGATCTATGTCATGAAGCCACCTTAACGGGAAAGCTATTTCTAGAGAACTTCAATCGGAGTGAAGAAAAAGGCGAATATGTCAAATCATACATTGCATCATTCGATCGTTCTCACGTACAAGTGGAGTCAATATCCAGTTGGTAGTAAATAGGATCCAATAACAAACAATTGGAAACGCATAGCTGTCGGTTACATAATGTTCAGTAACTCAGTCGGGTCACAGGAGGGCAAGTGATGTTGTTTTCTCTGTTTTGCTGCTGCTGTTGTTGTTGTTGTTATGCGTAGTTGTCAACAAGATTCATCGACAATTCTAAACTGGGGTCACACAAGTTCAATAGTGTCCTTATTTACCATAGCAGCTGACCTGCAATCGAGCCGAGTAATGATTATGGCAAAAACCGTTTCTCGCTTACTTTCCCAAAAAAGGAGATAGATGGGGTGAAAAGTCTAATTTTCGACCTTTTTTTTTTATACACTCTCTAAATCTATCTGATTATTAGTTTGCCCATTTAGGTGTCCGCGGCTCACTGTTGGCAGCACATGAATTAGACAACATTAATTTACCAGAATTGATATAATGATCGTTTTACTTGTGCGTCAGGTTTCCACACATTTTTTGCTTAAATCCTCTCGCTGTTATCGATATTCCGTACGTAACCTACCGTAGCTGCATTTCGATTTGTCATGTCGTGCAGTCTTCGTTCGTCGAGAAACGTTGATCGATACGTTCGTGTTTCTACGTAATTGCCACATTCTATCTTACATCAAGTAGCAGTAGTCACATTATATATATACATACATATATGTATATATATATATCGTATTTTTATTTATAGTATGTACATTGACATATTTCACACGGTGGTAATGGTTGTGACGAATTTATGGTTGCCTGTTGTTGGCTGAGGTGCGCCATGCTTTGCTTCTCAGATTCGAACGGGGATCTATTTGAGGGGTGCGATTTACATCTGTTGCCCGTTAAATAGCATTCCCGCAAAGGCTCTTCTACGGCTCGACCTAATTGACTGACACGTACAGCATAAACGTTTAGCTTTACGAAAACGATTAGCCCACTTAGTTTTCAATTTGATCGCAACAAGAATCTTCACAACTCTTCATTCCTGATTAGGTCTGGTTGATAATCCCCACCGTTGTACCATCCAACATTATGTCATTACAATGCATATATATATATATATATATATTATGCAGGTCTTGCGCTGCGCACTGGCACTGTTACTATACAAGTCACATAAACGCGTTTGATGTAATCACTGTCCTTTTCAAGGCCATGCACTTTACTAGCGTCACGCCTCAGGCTTCAACGCGACGCCCAGGCAACAGCAACGTTGCTGTTTTTCAAACTATATACATGAATAAATATAGTAAGGTTGTTAATATTAGTATGACGCTGGTAGAGATTCGTAGAGGTGAAACGACTGATCGGCAGATGACAGATATAGTTTTCAAATAAAAACAAAAAAAAAGGGGGGGGGGGGTGGGAGTCGAAACAAAGGCCACACATCGACTAGAAATTTGAAGCTAACCTTGTAGCGCGCAATTTGAGACGCTCTAGATTTTTCCTACTATCGATACCTTTCCTGTCCGCACAAAAGGGAAAGTAGGTATCCCAGTTCTCTGTTTAAGTTAACTGTGAACTTGAACCGATTCACTATGCCATACGTGCTCCAATCAAAGCAATAATATTATGAAAAAGGAAGTTTTTTCAAATCTGCTTTCCAGCGAAGGTAACAGTCATCTTTTCCCGGTTACACCTCCCGCATTGAACTGTTTGCAGTATCTAACGAATGCGGATCGTTTTCGTCACGAGCCATCAAAAAGATACAAAAGTAATAATAACGGTTCACCGTAGTACTTACATTACCATACATAGTGGTGTGTGATAGTGTGTTTCGTCGTAGTGTTTCGTCAGCTACTTCCTTCTTACGAGTGATCCCTTGTGAGTGTTGTCGTGTATATAGTGCATACGTGAAGAATAAACGTGTCGCTTGCGTCGTGCTACGAACGATTATCTTGCAAATATTCTCATAACTCAGCAGCAACTATAGTACTAGCAGACGTATCTGTAAACCTCCATGTTACTATTTCCCCAATGAGGCTCGAAGGCGGCACCGACTGTGGAGCAGAAAACGGTTGATGGACGCTCGAGTATATTCCACTTTAGCCCCGTTTCACTCTCGTGGACATTCATTGACCACCCTCATAAAGTGGATTGGCAAAAAAATCCTCCACATTTCAAACTCTCTTCTTCGATAGAATGAGAAATAGGACGCTACAATCCGGACACGTTTCGAACCACTATCTCAATTTCAGTTCACCTTTGCTGCAGACGTTATTTTACAGCGCATATTCAGTCGGCCTCGGCATAAGCGAGGTAGCTCACTTAATCTAGGGTCATCAATCAATCGTATTATCATTAAAATCGTTATTTTCATCATCAGTAATATTACTACACAGTTTCTCCGTCGTATCTTTCGCACTCTCTCGCTATATATATATATATATATATTTTCTACCTCTACATATTATTATTACTCTGCATTACTATTTCTACTACATTAATAATAATTAATAATGCTATGCATCGCATCACACGGTAGCGAGATCGTCCAACCAGAATTCATTGATCGGCGACCTGCGCATTGTTAACAATGAGGGTGACTTTTCAACTTTCAACGGGAAGGCCGCTCCGAACGTGGTCGAGGTCAGTTAAAGGACTAATTTTGTCATTTGGAGGTCCCTTGTTCGCTGTCCCGTCATACCCACACTCCGTTGCATCAACCTCGCCCGAATAACTAACGCACTGCTTTTTGCTCAGTTTTCCCTACCTCCGTTCCGCCTTCAGGTTATCGACATTCACAGGCTTCGGCAAGATTGGCCAGTGTGCGCAGACCGCGTACAGGCCTTACAAAAACGACTGCGTCCTTCGATCAATACCATCGCAAATAAGGAACGTGTCCGTAGATTCGAAATTTCTCAGTGTTCTTGATGGGATGTGATTATGTTTTCCAGTCACATGATCACTTCAACTCGTCTGCCGGATTGATGTGCATCAATGAAAGCGTGCAACTGCAGTCTCCGATCAAACTCAATCGTCCTTTTGATTTATCTATCCAATATGCATAGGATGTGTGTGACGGTAGATGAATGAATTATATTTTTGCCTATATTAAAGGCCATCGTCAATTCAAGTTAACTGCAGTGTGCTTCAGTGAGTGCCAATGAGAACAGGTTTACTTTTTATTGGTCCGACAGGGGATGATGTGCTCCATGATTTGCCATCTTATTATATGCTAGCTCATTTCCAGCGCCGTTTTTCCGCAATGTTTCTTCCTTTCGCTTGGAAGAAGACCAAGAGAAAAACCAATGTCCTAATTACCGAGATTGTTTGTCTCGAATCACTTTACTTATTACGCCGTTGTGTGAGTTTCGCCAATATCTACAAACGCGGCGCAACATCGTTTTATTTGGCTATTCAGCCGTCCAAACGATCGATTAGCTTCCGATGAGCTGCAATAGTGCGGTTTTTCCCCCACACCACTTGCACCTGAACTCATCCGAAGTTTTTTTGATAGTGGTCCTCACTGCGTCTGAGTCGCATCCGACCGACCGACCGACCGTCTCAGCTTTTCCCTGGTACCAATACGTGACCGAGAATGAGGCGCTGAAAACTTTTGAATAAAGGGACGCTACGCCGATAGGCACATACACATTACGGACGAACAGAGCTCGCTTTTAATTACCTCTTGAACGAAGTCAACGAAGATAGTAACTCCCGCATACTTACCACATTACCACCCACTAACAACATGTACGTCAAAAGGCATCTTCCCAAGGCTGTCACACCAAGGTTGTCGCTCTACCGAAGATTTGTGGGTTTACAACAGACACACATACACTTTACTCGTTACGCAGCACTGATTCTCAAAATAGAGAGAAAAGGCTGTGTCTTGCCCGTTCTAACGAAGCTGAAATCCGGACACTGGTGAAAGAAATGGCCAGATCCAAGATAATGGCCAAAGACGTTTGTGTCAGCTGGTGGAAGCCTAACTTCTTTCACACGATCAAGCAGATGTGTGTCGAAGGCGATTCGTCGCGTCAGGCAGTCGACCACCGCGAGCATTCCTCCTCGTTCGATTCTTTTTTGAGACTTGATTCGTGTTTCTCTTCACGTCAAGCATTTCCGTGTACGTGTGTGTACTGAAAAAATCTTGATGTCGTCGCCAAAAAGCCGACACACAAGCCCAACACGCGCCCAAGGACGCCGAGGTCGCTAACCAGAGTACCCTGTCTTCAACCTTGATAAATACTGTACAAGGCGGGTAGTCTCAAGGGGGCTGCCATCTGAGGTCCAAAGTTCAAATCCGGCCGGCAGTTCCTCCTTGTTATCCCGCCGCGAATATGCGGGTCGCGACCACGCAGGAGCAGGTGCGCTTCACGTACGCTCGACTCACTTTGCACTACACGTCCATCGGCTGCGGTATTGTATACAACTCTCCACGTGTGTCACCAGCATCACCATCTCTTATTTTATTGTTGACTATACACCGCCCATAGCCGAGCCGTAGCTTCGGTCCTAGGCAAATAACGACAAGAACCAACAATGACCAACGCGCCCACGCCGAGAATAGCGTAGTACGCGTATAACTCTATCGCGTCAGCTTTTAATCGATGTTTTTCTTTTTCTCTCCTTGACACCTGCATCACATCTCTTCACCGTTCATGTCCGACTCTTGAAGAAGCCAAGGGAAGTCTTGCATTCTCGAACCGTGACCGTGACCGCGTTCACCTTGACGTCGGTAATGAGAATCTTGTTAATAAGAGCTGGAGGCGTCGGCTGCCAGTTGGCTATTGCTGACTTGATGGTCGCTGACGCCGGAGGTTGAGACGGCGCTGGAGGACCTGGGGGTGGTGGAGGCGCTGGTTGGCCTCCTCCTGCACCCACGCCGACCGATGGATGATGGTGTCCTACAGCGGGGTTTAATGGTAGCCCCCCTGCTGCGGCCACCTGTCCTGGACCGAGAGCCGCTGAGCCACCGTTCGTGACGGCTGTTACCGCCGGCGTAGGACCAGATGCATGAAGAGGATTGGACTGTTGACCTGTCGCTGGTGAGGCGGCCGAATGTGGCGTTGCTGCGGGTAGTTGAGAAGGATGTCCTAACGGCTGTCCCTGGCTAGGTTGAGATGGCTGTTGTTGTTGTTGTTGCTGCTGTTGCTGCTGCTGCTGCTGCTGCTGTTGCTGTTGTGATTGTTGTTGGCTAACTGCAATGCCACCTGTTGCAGATGGGTGCGTCTGCTGCTGTTGCTGTTGTTGAGAGGAAGGAGCAGCTACTGGTTGCGGCGACTGCTGTTGAGCCGCTCTCTGCTGACGTTCAAGCATATCACGGACAGTGGTCACTTCTTTGTGTTTACGTTTCCGGGTCGGCTGCTGTGGACGTGTCGGCTGCTGCTGCTGTTGTTGTTGTTGGCCAGGCGCCGTTCCGCTGTTGGGGCCACTACCGAGCTGCTGTTGTGGTTGGATAGGATGGGGTGCCAGGGACTGGTTGTTTAATCGAGCGATGGCCATGTGCTGTGGGGTGGACCCATGTGTGAGAAGGTTATTGTTTGTCGAGACTACCTGGGCTTGTGGTTTTTTGTCGTGGTCGTGCTGTGAGATTACAGACAACAAAGGTTAGATATAGCTTTAAAAGTGTTTCAGGAATGTTTGTTACCAGGGGATAGGCTTGGGATAAAGCTGTTATATAAGTCAAATTCAAAGGTTTCACTATACAGTTCGAATAATAGAACGATTTCTATTATTTACACACATATTCATATTACTATTTACTTGGGTCTAACGTCGAGTGAGCAGTTTAAATTGTGGAATTTATTTCAGCTATTTTTTTTTCTTCTTTTTCGATCTTAACAATTTTTTCTGTCGAAGTTAAACGCGGCTATGCAAAAACATTACTTTCCCTTATACAAACTCAAAACTTCTCTAAGTGTTCAACGATTTTGAGCACATTTCCCAAAGGACAAGCAATACCTAATTAAAAACAATTTTTAAAGGAAAAACGCAATAACCTCTCAGCTGACTATATATTTTATATAAATTTCACTCGTTCTTAACGCTAGGCCAACTTACCTGTAAATGCTCTGGCGTCTGAGGAGACTGGTTTTGATGTGCTCCTGGATGCTGCATGGCAGGCGACATCGGTACCGTTGGGGGGGCTAATCTAGCTGCTACCGGTGGAACGGCCATATGTAATGGTTTGTCCATAAGGTTGCCCCCGCTTGTTGCCTTTTTTGGATCCTGAATCCCTCCAGGTCCCATAACACCGGCACCGGTCTGAGGTGCAATCCTTGGCTGTAGCTGCTGCGCCGTCGCCATCTGTGCGGTTCCAATCGAAGTCTTCAGAAACGCGCCAGTCCCTGGAGCAATTGTCGTGATTTGTTGCTGATTAGCTCCTGTAACATAGGCGACAAGGTGCGGAATAACACAGTTTCCGCCGTAGGGCGCAAAACACACACACACACACAAATATATACACAGACGCACAGTAAAAGGGTAAATTCATGTTAGTTTTGTTTCACCGTTTAACCGCGGTTCCATCTTGCCATTGCATGCCTACCATCCATGTGCGTGTCGTGAACGACTAGCGTTCAGCGACATAGTATCGTTACGTAATTCTCGTTGTTTTTTAGGTTATAACAAAAATAAGAATCAGAACACTCACATAGTACCAATCATCACAAAGCATTTTTATAGGTTCCTAACCACACGCAGAATGGTCTCGATTGATCACTGGCGATAATACAATTATGCGATGTTTACGCAGTGTCGTAGAGGATTTTTCAACTGTCTGCCAAGATTCTTTTGTTTTACGTTCTATTATTTTGCCGCTGTGAACCGCTCACGGACTGATATCTCGCAAAAGGCTAATGGCGATGGTTACTGGCCAGTCTGAGGTGGCTTACTAACAATTCTCGGTAATAACTACAAGGCCCGGCTGCATTGTCACCCGCCCTAGCCTATTCCGAAAATGGCTCACTGGTAGTGAAACCATTCAGTGATAAACTATTCTGCCTGTACAATTACTATTCTGTGAAACAGAAAACTACGCGTTACCAATCGAATCAACTAACGACCTTTTGCCACCTGTTGCCACTGTCAGTAAACAGCGACAAACGGATGTTGAACATTGTATAACCCATCTAAACCCAGTATCTATATAGAGATGATAATCATAATGGTAATAGTACTATGTGCACGTACGTAATTTACCTTTTCGGCTCGTAGCCGCCACCCATAACGCGCGTGTATCTTATTTTTAAAGCAAAACGATTTCTCTATGATACCGTCTCTCTAGGCCAACATCCATTCCTCAGCTAAGCGAAAGATTTAAACGTTCTAGTCAGACATATCAAGAAGCTATTCAGTCTTTTCGCCGTGTTCCTTCTTTGTTCACACGAATAGGCATCAACTTCAAAACGAGTAAAGCCAGTACTATCTATTGCCAGCGCACGATTGACATAGCTGATGCTGTCTATGCCAGAGAACAGAGAAATGAGGCCGGAAGTCAAATTTCTTTAATGAGATCTGAGCAGGCACAGGGATTCAAGTGATTTGACCGGAAGCATTTTCGAAGCAAAAGAAAACAGTTACACTACGGACAGCTGCTGTCATATAGCCTATGGTAACTGGAAACAAGGGCTGCTTAGTTCATTGAGTCTTCACGGTAGTTTTCCGCGAGCTAGAACATACAAAGGGATGGTATTTACAACTAATCAACAATATCGCATGCAGAACGCACACAAACACACACAAATATGATTAGATGCTATTTCGCACCTTCATCGCAGGCAGGCCACGCATTGATACGCAATGCAGGGGGTAAGCAATAGGATTATATTCGGTAGGGACACATCTAACTGATCGCCGCTTGACGTCCTAATTAACTACCAGTACGTAATGTTTGTCTTAAACGGAATACGTAGTGGTATTTGGTGTTAGCTTTGCATGTGTTTATAAGATACCGTTCATTATGGACCTCATGGTCTATTGTTTGATCCTTATCAAGCTTCTTTTTTGCTTTCTGACCAGCTCATTTACAGCTATATTGTATTATTCTTACTACTATTATGGTTATCATCACCGTCACTAACAATCACCAAACAAGCAAGCATTCAATCATTCATCACACTCACCCTTCTGCCTGTGTAAGCCCATCACCATATGTCCCTGAATCTGTTGGGCCATCTGTCCTTGCAGATGCTGAGCCGTCTGACTCGTCAAGCCCCCCTGAGCAGCAAGCTGTTGCTGAGCCTGCAGCTGTTGGAGCGCCCCCAGGGCTCCGGAATGGTTAGAGGCGGCTGCTGCAGCGGCAGATGTGAGCGGTCCTCCTGCTGCACCCAGCTGGCCACCCCCGATCATCAGCGGAGTAAATGGAGCTCTTCCATTCAACGTGACATTCGTGTTTTCACCACCTTGAGCCGAACCGTGTTGCTGTTGCTGCTGCTGCTGCTGCTGCTGTGAGTGAAGTTGTGTTTGTTGCTGAAGTTGGGCCTGGTGCTGCTGTTGCTGTAAATCATTTGCCGTTTGAGCTGCTCCCTGAGACAGCATTGCGCTGGTAGCGCAGGCGCCAAGGTGTCCAGACGTCAAAGGTGTAACGGCTCCTTGTGATAACAAAGGCGCTCCCGGAGTCTGTTGCTGATGCGTGGGTTGTTGACCCACCGACGTTACTGTGGGTAACAACGACGGGGCAGGTGAAATCTGGGTTAACTGTACACCTGGCGGTAGCTGCACCCCCGCCAGGAGCGTCATAGGGGAGCTAACGGTTGGGGGTGGCGCGGAGGGCGCCTGCAAAGCTTGATGCGTTTGTTGTTGTTGCGTCTGCTGTTGCAGCTGGCCTGGAATGGCACCGGTTGAAGCAGAAAGCGCGGACTGTGAGGTTACCGCAATATGAGCTGGGTGACCTGACTGAGGAGAACTCATTCCCGCTGCAGATACGACTGATCCAGTCTGAACTGACGCCTGAGTCAGTGTTTGAGAAACGGCAGGTGACACAACAGACAACCCCTGTTGGCTCGAGGCCGAATTCTGTACGCTGCCAGCGACAGAGGCGGGGATTTTTCCTGCTAAAAGCATCTTCACGCTCGACCGATTTGATGCAGTAGTAGTTGTCGTCGACGTCGTCGTCGTTAAATTGACAGAAGAGACTTGCGCACCAGTTCCTTTTAAAGCGTCCGCAACCAACGGATCTAGCTGCGACTGTACCGTTACCGGAACACCAGAATGTGTACCTGGGCTGCCTGGAGTGCCGTTGACGCCAAGGGCCACCTGTGCCGTTTGCTGTTTTCCGCTCATGGGGATAGTCTGCTGCTGAGCTGGCTGTTGTTGTCCTGAACATTTTGCGGGCCCAGTTAGTAAAACGCTACCTTTACCCTTCAACCTCGCACATTTACTGAGAGACACCACAAAATAGCGCGTAAGTATGCCCGATCGCCGTAGTAGCACGAGATTATCGATCGTTATCGAACACGACGAAGAGGCTCGACTACTAGTAACATGTTCGAAACACGTTCAGCAAAACTTTGTTTTTGCCATTGCCGTCGTTGTTCTGTTTTTTCTTTTTTTTTTTTTAATTTTTATAGAACTGAACAGCTGATTGAGTTATAGCGCCATTCTTTTTAACTCTGCCAACCTTCCACTTCTGACCGATGCTCACCTGTTCTACGAGAACTTATTGCTAGTAGGTTATAAAACGGTGAGTGCTACGTCGCGCTGGAAGATCATTGTGCTGTAACCGCTCTAACGCTCTAATGTTGTTTCTCCGTGGGCCCTAATGAACAATATCGAATGAGGAACGGCCGCAGAAGCAGGCGTTTTACAAAAGGCCACGCGTAACCGACCGTACATAGTCACAACAGCTTGTTGACAATTCGGGTTGATTCCGCATATAAGTTCAATCTAATAGAAAAACTATTAAGCCATTTGAGAAAAAGTACTTGCTAGCAGCAGACAAGCGAGTGCATAGAATGTGTCAAATCATCGCAATCTGATTCTATAACTTAGACATACATACTTGTGACGACGGACAACGAGAAACAACTTCACGACGTAACTTTCACTCCTATAACATGTATTAATTAGTGGAATATTTAGACAGTAAGGAACTTCACACTTAAGGTTCAGGTGTGCGTACGCGTATAGTAAGCCGGGACGTCAAGGAATGCAATCAAGGGGAAATTTAGCGCGGCGCAGAAATATTGCAGTGGAACTCTATCACGAAAGATGGCCAATGATTGACGTTTAAAAGATCGCTTTTTTGGTCACTGTAAAGTTTTAATTGGTGCAAGAAAACATAACGAAAATAAGTGATCCGAAAAAGCAGGATAGGAACAAAGGGGGCAGAGATGATTTTCGAACACTTTGAGAGGAGCAGTCAGCCATAGTGGAAATGTAGGACATAAAAGCGCAGTTTTCAGGCAGCGGTTCGTAAAGCAACATCAAGGAATTATAGGGAACCTGTCGGCGCCTACGGGGATCGTTCATACGCTCGACCTAATAACGAAGATATTATGCATTAGACACGAACGGGTTTAGCCAGCGCAATGCTACAACGGATTATGATGACGACCAACACGAACGGGACGAATAATAATTACCATAGCTGCAACCAGGTTGACCGGTAATTATTACAGATAGTCACTTGTAAATGGTTAGCGGATAAACGAAATAATAAATATACAAAACTAAATTTATTAAGTTTATGATAAAATGAAAATTAACAGCAATCACAGTCGACGCTATGTTCCGAACCAAACGAACCCATTAAAAAAGCCCCACCCTTCCGAATGACAAGGGGATACTTCGTAACAGACTACCCACGCTATACGCATCAAATATAAGCGGATACTCTTCTTGTTTGCTTCTTACCAGAGTGTCATAATGCATTGTTGTTGAAATCCTCTGGCTCGTAACCTAACATCTAGTTTACGCCGCAATGGAACTTCGTTTATTTCTGTGGTGGGCGACAAGATCGTGTGCCAACTTACCTTTCAAGGCGGCACCTCCCAGCTGTTGCTGTTGGCTTGTTGCTGGTACGGAGGGCGAGTTCGTTGAACCTTTCGACACCGTGGCACTGGTGGGATTACCTATAAACATCTTGCTTGTGAGGCCATTATTACTGGTCGTACGCATGCCAAGTGGCGCGGCGTTTGCCTCAGTTGAACTGATCGTCGTCGCGGGCTGCGGTTGCAAATGCGTCGTCTGCTGCGGCTGCTGTTGATTATGATGTTGTTGTTGTTGTTGTTGTTGTTGTTGGTGCTGCTGCTGCTGCTGCTGCTGCTGTTGCTGCTGCTGTTGCTGTTGCTGCGGTTGCTGTTGTTGACCTTTTTTGTTTGGTCCGCTTCGATCCGTATGCTGGACCATATGCCGAAAGGTTAACGTCATCGATGGAGGTATGGAGGGTTTAGGAGCAACAGCAGGCATCGAATGCTTGTGAGGGAACGTTGAAGTCTTCGAACCATCGGTTGGAGACGCCGTGGCAGCTGCCAAAACTGAATTGGCGTTGGAACTTGCATTGGCCTTGACCCCTTTCGAGTTGGCGGCTTGCACAGCGTTTCCTACGCCACTTGGGGTTCCACAAGACTGCTTGACTGGCGCGGACGAAGCGGATGTGGTTATTGTAGTCGAGGCGGTGGTCGAACACGGCGCCTTGGTCGTTGACTGTGTCGTAGTTGTTGCGGTGAACTAAAGGGTCGACGAACGGATAATATAGCTGCGTCGTTAGGTATTCAGGATGACAACCTCAACTATCAATAGAAAAAAGCGCGACGGGACTAGTCTAATAAATAGGTCGAAAAAGAACAAGTTCGATCAGTCAGTATTTAGGTATGGATGCCGCAGTCTTACCCATTTACTGTACCATAAGAATCTATTAAGAAAAGTGTATGTCTAGAATAGTTGATTTAACATATTTAGCCTTACAATAACCATGGTAACGGTTGCACTCTGAGAACAACTAACCGTTTTTTTGTTTTGCTGAGGGATCTGTTGGGACACGACGTGCCCGCTCTTTGATGCCCCCTGTGAAACCGCAACGGCCACCGACGGCGTTGAAATTGTACTGGTCGTTGTTGTCGTCGGCGCTGTCGAATGCCTCTGCAGCTGTACCTGTAGCTGTCTTACCTTCGGCTGAGAACTGCCATCAACTAACTGCGTGTTCTTGATTGACTTCGTTAACTGCGTCGCTGCCGTACCAACAGAGTGATCTTTGCGTGTTTCCGTGGCATTGACGGCCTCCAATCCACCAGCAGCATTGACATCCGCTGGACTGTCATCTTTGCTCGGCCAGACCTTTACCGCACCCGAGTCTATTGACGTGCTCGAACTGCGGCCTCCCTTGTTCGACAGCTTACTATTATTGTCCAGTACCCCAATGGAACCAGCTGCTGTCGTCGCCTTCGATTCATTCAAGTCACTAGACCTGCTATTGATGTTACTACTAGCATTACTGCTACCGCTGCTACAAATCGCTGATGTAGGTGCAGACGCAACCTTGCCCGGCTTGTCGGCCGGGGCAGCTAAGGAAACGCTGATCTCGCGGAAGCTAGCCCGGGACCCGCTTCCACCCACACTGACACTAGCATTGCTGCTTGGGCTTCCGAACGAAATGGGAGAGGAATCCTTTTTGTCGAGCAGGTCATCGGACGCCTTCAGTCTGTCGAAGGTGTCCAATGTTGCTGCCGCCGAAATGCCCACTGCCGAACCAGAGCCAGTAATAGAACTGCCCAACAACGACGAAGCAGAGGAAGAAGATGACGATGACGACGACGATGACGACGACGACGATGACGATGACGACGACGACGATGATGATGAGGACGATGACGATGACGACGACGACGACGACGACGAACTGGACTTGTGATGACCGTGATGTCCATCGCTCTTCGCGCCTCCTACCTCGATCTTGATTCGTTTTGCATCCGGTGAGCTGAGGCCCTTTGAAAGGGAGGAACCCTGAGTAGCCCGTGAAGCATTTGCCGCTGACGCTACTACCCCTTTGACGCTTATAGTAGAAGACGCATTATTCCCACTGCTCGTCGATACGGACGATGGTAGTGATACTGTTAATGATGCTGATGATAACGATGATGACAATTGTGTTGATAATGTTGTACTTCGATCCTTGTCGCGATCTCGATCTTTCTCCTTTTCGCGGGCGTGCTTCTGCTCTTTGCTCGTGGGTGGCTGCGCCGTCGGCTGTTGCTGTGTTGGCTCCTTCGCGATGTCTTTGTTCTTCGGCTGTACGCCATGATGTGTCCGGCCTGATGTGCTGCTGGCGTCCTTTCCAAAGGATGTCCTGTCCTTCTGGTTGTTGTTACTAATAGCAGCTCCGACACCGGTGGATCCGGAGCTAACGACGCTGGCAGAACTGTTACAATTGCTGTTGTTACTACTGCTGCCGCCGACGCTAGACCCGGCGCTGTCCTTAGCCCCTTTCGCCCCGGAACCTGTTGATGCGTCGTCCTTGCTATTGCTCGAAGTGACCTTTGCGCCAGCGTCTTTACCGGAGGATTTGCTGCCGTCGGCGTGTGTCGAAGATTTGGCCTGATGTGGATGATGATTCGATGCCGATGGAGGAGAATGGTTATCATTCTTCTTTGTCGAATGCTCCAGCTTATGAGGTTTATCTGAAGTGGCCAGAAAAAAATATGAATAAATAAGTGGTAGGACAAAGTGAGACGACAAACAAGAGAAAATAAAAAAAAAACAACAAACTTGGATCGATCGTTAACTCGTTAGTGTTACGGATGCAAAAAGTAACTATTACATATGGAACAATTAATAGGAGAGTCAAACGCGAATTTCAAAATTGAGTATAAGCAGTGGTAGACTGTAGTGAATTAATATCAATAAGAGGAGCGCACCTAATTAAAATGTACTACACATTTTAAATAAGGTGAAAATTTACGCAACTATACGCTGTTACAGTATGTTCCTTTGCACAGATAAATGTTGACTTTATCGAACCATCGTCAATTAGTTACTGATGTGTAATAAAACATAGTTAATAGAGACTAGAGGCCGCTGTTTTAAGTCTAGTCAAGGACACACTATGCAAGCAGCGCAAATACGGTAAGTTATATAATACAGCTCATTAACTTACAAATGTCTTTGAAGTGTTCCTTCGACAAAGGGGTAACACATCTCTGGTTTACTTTAACCGCCTCGGCGGGGCTTTCAACAAAACCTGACGCACTGAGAGGTCTGCCTGGGAGCGGACTTCTCCGATCTTTCTCTTTCACGTCTTTGCTCGTGACTTCTTTCGAATCCTTGTCTCCATGCTCTCCTAGGTATTGACTGTCCCTCGAGCATCCTGGTTGAGATGGGTCAGTGTGTTTTCGATTCTGCCGGCTGGGCCCGGGTCTGTCGGTGTTGGCGAGCTCATCCTCGGAGTTGCTTTTACTTCCTTGTTCGTTATTATCAGTCTCCTCCTGTTTACGTGAGACACAAATAGTATTGATGCTTAATATGGTTAAATCATGGGTAGGCCAAAGGCGCTATGACAGTTCATTATTTTAGATATATTTTTTGACAGACAATGAAGCGAATCTGATTAATTATATATAGTTGTGACAACATTCAGTTAAATGAAGTCGGTCATAAAAACTAAGAGAAAACTAAGCGCTGATATGCCAATTTATTTATATTTTTTTTAACATGACTGTACAGTTTCACAAGTTACAAGCATGCTTTAATCAACTATATAGACAATACATAATCTACTTAAATATCTTCGATATATCCAAGCTCAAAATAACTGTCGCTTACTAATAACTGTCACCAAACTGTCACACTAACGTATACTAAAATGCCGATCATCACGTAAAAAGGGTTCCGTTCAAACAACTGGACCAGCTTAATCCTGCTCAATCACCCGTTGAACTATTTACTCCCCCCCCCCCCCCCGGAGATCCAGCAAATCATATACATCCTATTATTATCACAATCCCACCAAAGTAACATTCTTATTCTGTTAACTTAGTTCTTTCAGCGCCAGTACAACATCTATTCAACGACGAGTCCGTCAAACTAGTCTACGTAAGCCAGCAGGAGTCTTAACCATCCGCTTTCTTTGACTAAAGTCCGCGACGCTTCCGCCGTCCGAAAAGCGCAATTAAACGGAATCAACAAGCGTCAAGGAACAGGACGCAACGTGCGCGCACTACTCAAACAGAAGGAGGTCACTGTCCGGACTTTACTGCGTCAGCTGGGCCACAGGATTTAGCTCCGCGGTCATCCCCTCTTACTAGTGCTGTGACCAGTAATTTAACCCATGGCGGTGAAAAACAGACAAAGTCACCAGAAGACCACTGAGAAAGCCGATGAGGTTACAGGAGACGCAGCCCCCAGACCGCAACAGCACTCGAGGCACACACACATACACCCAGAGACACGGAAGTCGGCGACCATCGTACCAGCTGCGATACTTTTCTTGCTCTTGTCGTTGTTGTGGCTGTTGTACAATTGCTTCTGTTGTTGTTGGAATAGTTTCTGATCCTCCCGGCTTTTCGTCTATGGTAGGAGTGGTTCAGAGTGATCAAAGTCGCAATGGGCTCGCTGTTGCTGACGACGGTGAGTGTCTGTGACAGCGACTCCGAAGATGTAGAATACGGACGACGAAACGTCCAGCAAATCACCATAGAACGAACAGTCGGACAACAGCGGGACAGAATCATTACAGAACCGACAACGAAATAGAGACAGTCGACGAGAACCCAGCTTGAGAAGTCATTTGGTGGCGGACGCGGAACGTCAGATCCGCTGGCGGAAAATTGGAGGGTTGCTAGTCGAATCAGCGTGGCTCTGTCCGAGTTTATACATTGCAATAGGCGTTTGCGAACGCATCGCAGCAAACGAAAAAATAGTGGAAGTAGAGCAACTCAAACGACTTGAGGCAGACCAACAGCGTACGACATTTCGAAAATTCTCACCTCGACAAGATCTGCTGTCTGCAGTAAAGCTAGCGGTTCATATGGATTGGAAGCTTGCGTTTTATTGGGAAAAGAATCGCGTTTGAAATTGTGAATTTCTACCAATTGTTTTTTTTAGGTTGGGAAGACTGTCGTGGTCGGCTAGGAGAAAAAATGATTATGGGCGCTAATGCGTTTGGTCTTTGGCAGCGTCGTTATCCGCTAACTCGGATGAGGCACGCGACGAATAGGCATCAGTTGAACAATATTCGATAACGGCCAAACAGGCGTTCAAAAATAACTTTAAAAGTATATTTAAGTATGAAGCCACTAACAATCGCTAATCGTTTTCGGTGAAGCTGTAGAGGCTGCGGTTCAGCTAAGCCATATTCCACCCCATCCCCGCCATCAGCGTTACCTCAATTGAACTTCAACAGCTATTCGCATTCATTCGTTGCAAAACTAGAGTGGTGATCATTTTCCGAGGGATCGAGGGTACCCATTATGGTGCTTCATAGTATTAGTATATAAGAGGTTGTCTGCAGGTAACGAATAATGTTGCCTACATTGACCAGACAAACATCGTAAAGCTATGTCGTCGAAGAGAGGGATGGAGAGAGAAAGGGAGGGCTCGCGCTTACTCTCTCTCTCTCTCTCTCTCTCTCTATTTTGCATTGTTACCGTCTATAGAAAATCGAGATACAATCTTCAGACGAGAAGACGAAGAAATAGAGGAGAACAATAAATACACTATTTGGCTAGCGGAAACAGGCCAATGGAAGTTGGGTGGACAGAGGGCTTGCGCGTCCGGCGTCCTACCAAGCGACCAACCAGACAGCCGCAAAGTAGAGGACGACACCCGTGTCACGACTGCTAACCAGTGCGTGTGTCCGTCGGTGACTGGCGGCGGCAACAGCGGCGTTAGGGCGTCGAGCGAAGGCAGACGCCGTTTTGCAACAAAAGATACAAAAGCTAGGATGGATTCGATCATAGATACATTCACACATAAAATAGAATATGAACAGTGCGGGAACAAGAAGCACGGTCAGGAGCCACACACAAAAGCACACACAGACAAACGCACAAAACAGATGACCCAACGAAGCCATATAGACACTCGCCTACTTTGACTCGTTTCCATTTAACTATATTATACGTACAGGATTCGGTGATTGTAAAACGAGCAAAAATGAGCTAGATTTGTTCGAATAAAGCGTACCGCTTTATGTGTGTGACAATGTATCGACTGTACTAATGTTTATTCAATTAAATATTAACTTAACGTAATCGATTGTTCTAAACTCGCGCATAGGTTCATATACTTTTTCGCGTCTACCTAATTTAGCTAGCTGAGAGACAAATATTTATTTATGAGAAACGTAAAACGGTACTCCTTTGCCGTCTTCCATGAAACGTCGCTGACTGACGCGTCATCGCAGTGCGGTATGTCTAGTCATGTTTTGCTATTGATACTAGGTCAAGTTTTACCATCTCGTTGTGGTATTTTCCGCTACTAGATATAAGGATGTCTTCTGACGAAACGCAAAGATACATTGAAGCGGCAAGAGTGTAACACCTCGTGAAAAGCCGGCCAACTTCGACGTTAAAAGCAAAATAGATCTAATAGCATGGTTGTAAGGGTGAGCGAAAACGGACAATCTTCACAAAACAGATCCAAACAAACTTCTATTATAGTTGCATTAAATTGCCATTGTACTTAAAACTAGACTGTATCAGTCACAACGTCTTCGATCATGACATATCCCATTGTAAAAATTTTCCCGTTTGATACAGACAACGATTTCTCTGACCGATGAAACCGCCGTTGTGCTCGTCGGCATTTCTTAGTTGGCCACCCTCATAAGTTTACATGTCAGACTGTCAACAGTCACTTACCATTTGCTGAGTTTACGGATCTCATTCAGGACGTACAATAATCGCTTAACAAAAAATAAAAAAAAACAATTTTCTACCGTAACAGGACGTTATTTTCGCACCGGCAGCCAACTGAACTGTTATATAGTACAGTGTTTGCTTACTATGGCGGAAAGCACGACATCATCTATAATAACATTAGAATTTTTCATCCGGTAATTCTTCACTGAACACATTTCAATCGTTGGTTTGAACGCTAAGCCATGAGCAATTGATAATCTTCCTAGGCGAATGCTAGGGGCGAAAACGACACGTCACAAAACCAGTACGATCCCATAGGCAGCTCATTGAAGTGGGCGAGGTGTAACAGAAAAACTGTGCAAACTATGTTTACAAAAACGATATCAAACTGTATCGGGAAAATGTGCCTAGATCAAAAAAACAAGATGCACAAATGGAGTTCATGCGTAATGGTCATCGCTAGCACTGACAAAGGAGCTCGCGTCACGTCACAGGAGACAAGAACATTGATCGTAGATCAACGTCGACTACATAGCTCGAAAAACGCCTATAGTTCGCTAACCGTAAGTAAACATGAGAGATGCGCGATACATCTAGGACACAGCCTAATGGAAAACAAACGCTATTGCTAATGTCTTCTCCAATACTTCCGAGCATGATTACCCAAGCTGGCCCTTGTTACAAGCAGCTTTGAAATCGAGCTCAGCAGTGCTCGAAATAAGCTCAGTCCTTTTGCATAGTAGACGTCTCGAAAAAGCCCTGCGAACGAGCCGAGACGTTTCAATCGAAACACTGGATTGTGTCACACTGGAAAGACTGCCTTCTGGAAAACCCCGAAAACGTCGAGTCTGAAATTGTTACGTGGGTCTGTCCGCCAACGACCTTTTCGGTAACGAGGCTTTGATGAGTTTTCTAGTATAAGGGTTGTCGTTTCGTTGGCACTACTCGAATTTTGTTAATTCATAAACAATTCCAAATTTCCTCGTTAATATGTCATAGCTTAGTGTACTTACTAGTGTATAGTATCAATTAAACAAACAGCAAACAAGTGCCGATAAATATTTTAATATAAATAAATTATTACTAACCTGTTGATGGCTCGCAGTCGCTTCCCGTCTTCTCTTCTGGGCTCTCCTTGAGTCCCTGGCTTGCCTGTAGAAAAGACTTATTCATTATAGCGATTGGTGTCTAACAAACCGAGTTCAATGATATTTAATCGAGGCTCTACGCTTGGCTTTACAATGACTTGGTAACGCCACAAACCGGCATATATTGCTATGACTGTTCATAATATATTACTGTTTGGTGCACCGTAGCTAGCTGGTACAGGCCTTCGCCCACAAATCCGCCCCAGAGGGTTGTTATAATCCGTCGTTCTGCAAGGTGGATTCAACAACCATCGGGTCCCTTTCTAGTCGTCAGTGTCTGGCCCTTTCGGAGTTCAAAGGTGCAGGTGTCAATCGCTCACTTGTATTGGTGTAGATAGAGCGCACTGTATGCATCTTACCAGGATTGCTCCCAATGCTAGTTAGTGGAATAAAAAACATCCCTATTGCTGATTTGAACATAGACAAAATTGCTAGAAAAATGAAACACTAATCACGACTTGAGCGAAGCAAGCGGAAATATTCATATCCGAAATTGCCAAAAAGTCGTCTTAGTGACAATTCGCATACGGCCACAGTGGTAACTTCAACACGCCTCTGTTTGTTGATGTCTATATTAACAAGATTTTTTGACAACCACACGCGACTCCCAGCGTTCTAGTCAAGACAATGAGAGAACAATGTGTTTTGAAAACGTGATTTATCCTTGTCTCTACACGAAAGCACAGGCACAGATTTGTCATGGCAATGTCTACCAAAATGTCTTGGCGTGCCGAAATGAATCAAATAACGAAACACACGAGTAAGCTATATTTGTTACTTGAAACAATGCCTGATCCAACGTATCTAACAGTAAGTGATTTATCGCGAATGTGTTTTTTCGCGGTCGGTAAGTCGGGGTAAATATCGGGGTAAATAAGGAAAAGGGGGGGCAAATCTCGATGACGATTACCAGCTATTGGAATTCTAGAAAAACATAGAGATGCGCTTGAGACATTTGCAAGGCCGCCTAAGGTCGCGACCTTCCCTCACGTGTTGATCAAGTACCTCGTGCTTGATGCCCAGATCAGCTTTTGCCTGTCGATTGTGACAGATCGCATGAAACGAGCAGAAGGTGACGGAAACGAAAAAAACAGTAGAGTAGACAATGGGCAATTTTTGAGACAAGATTTTCCAACAAAACAAAATCATTATATTCAGTCACTAAACAGCACGAACTATTAAATAGCAAAATAAGGAAACCAAGTATGTTCATTTAAGTACGTCTAACAACAAATGTTAATACGAGCAGTATCTGCGCAAGCGAGATCTCTATTCAGTTCCGCAACTGTCTTCAGCGCGTCTTGCCTTTTTGGAATTTCGGCACTATCCACATCCTGGTAGTGGCAGTACCTTTTGTTACCTCATAAGGAGTGACCCTAAAAGTTGCTAGTTGAAGCAACTGAACCCAGAAACAACGCAATGAGATCCCAAGTTACATTTGGAACCCTTTACCTCTTTTTATCCGCCGCATCGAAATTCACAAAGTATTCCGCTTGAAGTTGCTAGGCGTCGTGCATAGTAATTAATTTTGATGCAGTTTTGCTGTTATGCGCTAGATATGTTGATAAATTATCATATGATTCTTGATCTATTCAAACCTATGCGGCTTTTGACTTGTAAGTTGTTTATATAGCTTTAGTTGCATCTCTCGAGAACTTTAACCTAAGTTAAAAAGTAACTAACGAACAGAAAATAATTTGCAATTATTTTCTTTACGATGACACATATCTCCCTGTAACTTGTAAAATAAAAAAAAAATAGTAAATAGTAATTATAACGATTAATGACTACAAATGCTAACGAGCACGAAATACTTACTGGGCTTCGAACGCCTCAAGTAACCGAATATCGAGAATGTTCTCTTCGGGCTCCCATGTGTTGTGCCTAAAAACAACAAAGCAAATGACCCAGTTTTGTTAGTTAATTTTCACCATTGTAGATATAATACTCGACTATGAAGTACCTCCGCGCTACGGTATGACAAAAGTAGAAAAAATACGTTGTGCGACAGCCCCCCTAGAAAGAAATATTCGTTGCATATTTATGCACCAAATTTTCACTTGGACAGCCAAATCAGGTACAGAAAATTTCGATAAAGGAGATGCGGGCGTAGGCTATGGTTTATTGTAAGTCACTGAAGATCCACTTTGACATTCGTGATTTTCTAGTTAAATCAATTGATAATCTGTATGTGTAAAGTTAAAAGTAATCTTGACTAAACGGTAGGGCATTTTCGATCTTCATTTTATGCTCATATCTATCGCTGGTTCATTCAGCTATCGGTGCGTGTGTTTAATACCTTCTTCATGCGACTCAACTTCCCCATTTTACCCAGATGAGCCTATTTGCCACTATATCGTGGATTCGTAGCCAAGTAGAGAAAATATTAACAAAAAGAATGGAACACGTTCGAGTCAGCCATAGAGAGAACTTTTTAACAGCAAATGATTTAGATAACCACCAGATGGTTACATGATTGTCGGACAGCCCTTTCATATGTTTGCAACAATCAACGATGTAAAACTAACGGCTGATAAAAAAACATTTTGATAAACTGTTCCTATAAAGGATAACAGTTTGATATGGCAATATACAAAAACAGGGTACATATGGGCCTCTACTTTTATCCTATAGATCTTTTACATCACGTTTGCTGCGACTCTTACGAGTCTTGAGAAACCCCAGAGTGTCAGACAGAGAACATCAGCTGCAACTAGAAACTAAGTGTAACGGAAATTAGAGATAAAAGTCTGACTATGAAAAGGGCTCTTATTTTTAACCGTTGAATTACCACGGTAATTTAATCTGATCACGGGAACTTCATAATAATTAGCTCTTCTCTCTCTGCTCTGACAAAAATCCAGTTTATGATCGGTAGCCCTAAATTAATACTATCAACGGGTTCACAGCGTATTTTTGATTGCCGTGCCAATGGTCCCTGAGCCTCTAAGGGAACCCGAGACAGCGGGCTGTATTGATTGTTTCATTTATGGCGAGTATCTCATAGCAACAGGTGCTCCTAATGCTCATTGCAGGTACTACTATCGCCTTATGCCCAAACCTATTGCACACTACCATCGGACTTGATTTATCTCCAGGGCGATGCTATTTTCTTGCTTGGTCCATCCCTGACTGGCGGTATAGAGTGAACAATGTTCTGTCTCTAGCGACCGCATGCTTCAGGTTTTTTATCGGTTAAAGTTCGTGGGATACACCATACTCATTTCCAACTAGCCCGGATCGATTCACGGGTGACTAGTTTTTTCCTTATTTACCGTATTTGGGTAATTATTCTGTAATCCGTTACATAAGAAATGCCAACTTCGGTCGACAAGGCTTTTAGACTCGAAGTTCTACTCTTGTGAAAGGCCTCTTCGATTGTGGCAAGGCGTTCTTGTCCTTCGGGTACCTTCATCTAGACACCTTCTCGATATGCTTCAACATTCTATAACAACCTTTGTTTTTACGTATTGTGTTCTTGCTCAAGGCTTCCTTGCATAACGCTGCCATCTATCTTCGATGAATTCCTGCGGCGGCCTTCGAAGGATAGAAGCTTGACCATTAAACGCTAATTTTCAAGACGAAAAGACACTTTTCTTTCTTGCCTCATTTCGATTTACTGATTTTCACTTATAAGTTTTTAGAGAACTCTAGTATTTAACAGCCCAGCTTTTTCTGTTAGTGACGGGTAATTTAAATGCTAGCCGATTTCCAAGTCTACCGGATTCGCTGGTAACAATCAACACAGGGAAAAGCCGAGGGATAACCAGTAGCTAAAATACATGGCAGCTATAATTTATACCGTAAAATTTAATCCCAAATGGCTGCCGATCGGTCGCACAACTTTGTAGAAAGCAACAAAAGCAGCTAACATGGCAGCGGACAGTAACAGCGAAACGTGCTCATCGAACTTAGGTAAGTTAAGATCGCATCTGCAGAATGAAATAAACAATGTTTTCAAATGATACATTCTATAATAATTTGGTTCTCTTAGCTCGCCACCGCCCACAACCAATCAGGCAATTGTAACGGCATTGATACTACATAAATAATTGTAAGCCAAGCAGATAATACCATGAAATAAACTACAATTTGTATTTCTTCCGGATTTGTTAACAGGCTTTTACTTCACGATAGTTCTGTTGCAGTTAGCAGCAGCACGAGACCACCCAGCGTGAAGCAGCACGACGCGTATTGTGTAAATGCATCAAATAATAACCCGTATGAAACCGTTTACGTGTCCGTGAAATCGAATCGTTTCGCCCTTCCCCCTCTTCTGTACCTTGTGGCGAATAAAGGTGCTCTTCTATTCCGCGTGGTCCGCAAGCCTCATCAAATACCATGGTTGTACGGTTCACAGGTAGAGTTAGCTAGCATAGTTAGATTGCATTCCCATCTCGTCTATAGGTGGCCGTACGTCACTAATCTTGGAGCAAAAGCAAGCAATATTAGATCTGCATACCTAAATAAATCTTTGATCTTGTGAAAGTTTCGCGCTGCTATAGATGATGCCGCTCTAACGCTGGAGCCGTGCATGTCATATATCTGAACTATCTAGACTACCTCATAGCGACGACAACAAGGTTTAGTAGGTGACTTGTCTGCCACCAAATCATTCAAACGCACCAGCTAACCGAACCACACCATTTAAATACGCCTATTTTTTAAAAGAAAGGTACTCCATAGCCTTGATTTCTATTAATAGAACTCGTTGCGTTCACTCGCTAGCTTTGTCGATCAGACAACCTACCGTCTACTCTAGCACTCCATACACATGTAGCTGCTTGACTGACGGCTTGCTTGACATCTACGTTTGGGATAAGCCTCTAGAAGCATAGCGACGCGTAAGTAAGCAAAAAAATGAGGAAAAAAGTCATAGAACTGGTGGGCTACATGGGAAATAGCTTCATAATCATCGCCGCTGGACAATGAAGACGCTTGTGAATAGGGTGGCTCGCGCGGCGTTTGTTTTCCGCGGCAGACCAAATCACTACCGGTCTCTTCGTAGTCGTTCGCTCACACCTAGCCGACCCTACTGGGACGCAACCGAGAGAAAACTATCGAAGCGGCCGCTGACAAACAATTCTACTATGTTTTGCCTCCGTGCCCTTCATCCCTTGCCCCACTTAGGCTTTTTGTGCGAAAGAGTATGACACCTCGTCCTTTATTTAATACCAAGACCAAGTGAAAGCTACTTACAGTGACAACAAAGACATGAATGCAGAGAGACAACAAAGACAACAAAACTGACGATGTATCAACGTGCGCTAGTATGAAGATAAGGGAGCGTTTGCTTCGATCCTTTACTATGCTCCTGCTTTGCTGATCAGGCGTTGTTCAATTGGAATAGTTTGCTTATGGTGTGGGCTATGCCTGTGACTAATATTTCCAATGCCACCGATACGCGCGTGCATGACAACGGCATTTACAGTGGAGGAGAAATGCGGGACAATTTAACTTCTTTTTTAATCCTCAACAATATCTATGTTTGCAATGAATACGCATACGTATGTGAAAGTATTGGCTGCATCTCGAGAAAGATCAATACAGGATATCATACGGCCGTAGCGGCGATTCAAAATGCTAAGATTTGTCGTATAGAACAAAGCGTATCTTTGTGTCGATACCGTGAATGTTGCCTCTTACCCATCCGATAGAGCGATACGACTATTTGGGCGAAATGGGTATTTGTGTACTGAGGTCGGTAGTGTCTCCCTTCTCCGGAGAGCAGACAGCTACCTAAATTAATTACTCAGATTTTTGCTTGAGTGAAACTATTCAGTAGCACATAATATTGGACGAAGCACAACGAACGATGTTAGTAGAGCTCTATCTTTAGTGCTGTGGTTCTGTACCTTGCGAAAGGACCTCTGTAGAGGAGAGTAGCACGGAATAGAGTTTCGTGCGGAACTTTGTGCGCATGAGCCTTTTTAGTGAGCGTTGAATTATGGGTAAACATGAAAATGTTCCACATTCGCTAACTGGATTTAGCGACTATACAGTCTATTCAACGTATTTGTCACGGTTTGTGTAAAACGTACCACGAGATATATGTTGCTTCTACTAGTTACATTGTTGCTATATCGTATTTAGCAATTATCTCCGACAACTTTACTCTTAATCCACCATTCAGTTAACTCTTAGCTTGTCTAAAGTTTACTAATTCATCGGCAGTTCGTTCTCAACATTGCAGACAATGCCAATAGCACGTGATTACGTTTAAAACAAGGATGTATTTATTTTGTAGATAGAAAAAAGGTGCATTTTTTCGTAGACGCAACGTGAGGTATTGGCATGGCAACGTGGCAGAGTCAGGATTGAAATCTGGGGGGGGGGGGGGGAAGAAACCACTTAAAACATCAGATTCAATTGACCCTCGAATCACTAAAGCATCTTCCAGAATGTTGCCAATATCGTTAGATATGTAACCCCCGAGGATAAGCGGCAGGTTAGTGTTTCTGAACCCCGTAATAGTAGTTCCACAGATTCGTCGATCCCGTATTGTTACCATGCGAATCCCATTGTTATATTAAGGTTCTATTCATTTGTTCGCTCTACACAAACTCAGAGCGCACACTGTAATTAACTAGAAACAACTGAACGGCGCATCTTTTTTCATTGGTTGCTAACATCCTCGTACAACGTTCCCGAATTACGCTCACGTATCGTGCATCCGTATAGACACAACTATTTTATATGAGAGCATTTTTTGTAGACTGTATTTTGTAGTTGTTTCCAGAAAAACAGTGTCTTCTCTAGTGAACCTTTACCTTTTGACGCACGTACTCTATACATTGCTTAGATGCCTCTTGTGAATATTTCTTCAAAATTTGCCTCAGAACTTCATTGGCAGACTCCCAGTGTGAAGCATTTAGCTCCCCTAA